TAAGTGGAAGTCTCTTGCTAGGTTGTTTAAGCAAAGGAAGTCTCTTGCTAGGTTGCTTGAGCAGTCTCTTTCTAGGTTGATTGAGTAAAGGAAGTCTATAGCTAGTTTTCTTGAGCCGGTTGTAATCAATCTTTGATTATAGTGGAAAATATCTTGTTGGACAAGGGAACTGAGCTACTCTCAGGTTGTGGGAGAAACCCAGGATAACTTTGTGTGTGTTTTTACTTATTGCTTCTGCACTTTATTTTATTTCGATTCTATCATCTCTGAAGTCATATTCGAATCTTGATCAGTTTCTAAAGTTATTTTTAAGAAGCAAAAGAATTCACTATACACAATTCAACCCCCAACTCTTGTGTATTTTTCTCATCTTCAAGGATGTGTGTTCTAGTGAATTTTTAGGTGATTGAGGTGGGGTTGGTGTTAGAGATTTCTCATCAGAGGTGAATTGGAAGAATCTAGACATTATTAGAGACAAGGTTCAAAGGAATACCTGCGTCATCAGTGTTTGCAACTTCAGATACAACATGTTTTTTCTTCCATAATGGTTTCAAGGGCATGAGAAGTAACTTCTTCTGTCATGAGAACAACTCCAACATCTTAAATTCCCTTAGCAATCCTTCAACACATCTTCTACTACAGTTTTCCTTCCACTTGCTTTTGAAGAGCATAAAAAATGAAAGCCCTTTTTATAGCCAGGATCAACAAGGCTCTTGCTATCAGACCAACTTCCTTTTAAATAACCTATGCAGGGAGGTTTTGAATATCTTTTTCAGTAGATTCGGGCCTCTTTTTTAGAGGTTGTTCATCAATTTCTTCTTCTCTTCTTCTGATAGCAGGACCATCTTCATCGATTCTTCTTCTTCTAAGCCAAAACAGAAAAGGTTGTCTTCTGAGGATTTTCTTTACTCCTTGTCTTGGTAGGCATTAAGAGTTGTGGAGACCATTTCTTGAACCTCATTTTGAAGGACAATCTTCTTCTTAGGTGGCTTCTGCACCTCCTTCTCAGAATCAGGCACAAACTGCCTCCTTTTCTTCTAGGTCTGTACAAAGTTTCTTTAGGTCCTTCAGGGGTATCATCCTAGTCAGAATAATACGACAGTCTTCCATAGCCATTTTGATAAACTCATGAATGACTTCAGGGTTGTCTAGCTTGGTGATAAGAGAAAAATCAGCAATGAAGGCAGTTTGACATTTCTGACCCTTAAGGGATTTGCAAGTTGCACCATTTCCTGCTTCAGAATCAACTTCATGTTCCCCAAAAGAGAACTAGAGAGAACATCCCCATATGATTCTGCCAGATCTTCCGTAGGCTCATAATTCATCAGAGCTTCAATCAACCTACTCTTATGAAATAATCCAGAGAGAAGTTTTGCATGAGGAATAATTTTCTTATGATTCCAATTAGTCTCTCTGATGGCGTCACATAAGTGATTAAAGATGTATGCTGGAAGATTGATTTTCTTATAATTTACTAGGAACAAGATAAAGTGTTTGTGATCCCAAGAGATTTGATAAGTACTACCTTCTATTGGAATTAAACAACCAATCAAAATCCTGAACATAACTTTGAACTCATTCTTCACATGATTTACTTTACTAAAATCCTCATTTCTTCATCATAGACCTTAGTCCTTACCCATAAATTTTTAACCAAGTAGGGAAAGGTTGGTTCTTTAGCATATCAAAGTAGTTAATCCACCCTTTAAATTTGAAGAAATGATGCACATGATACCCATTAACCCTAAAAGATTCAAAATTAACAACCGGCTTAATAACTGGCTTCGGTTGATCAATACTGAACTTTGGGGTTTTGGGTTTGACATGGAAGCTTTTCCTAAATTCAACGGCCATAGTAGCTTGATGAGAAGATGATGTTAAAGCCATTGCAAATGGAGTTAGGGTTTCTAAACGGGTATTTTGAAAGAGGTTTTTTTTTGAGAAGGTTAGAAAAACTAAAGTGTAGGTTGTGAAGTGAGAGTGTGTGTGAAATAGTGATATAATACATGCTTTGAGTGAAAAACAATTTTTGATTCAAACAAAACTTAATGGCTAAGGATGTGGGAAGCACAATTTTCAAGTCATTTTCATCATTACCTGACAATTTTTACTCAATAGTTGCAAACTATATGTCAGAGGACATTTCAAATTTGAGACACATAAGTGGACAAGTGTCAGAAGAAATCAGTTGGCTAGTTTTTCCACTTATGTACAATTAGAAGTAACTAATCAAAATATGAGTATCAGAGACTAGGATGGTTTAAAGTCTACTATTCATCAGAGGTTGATTTAGAGCTTCTATTCATAGTAGTTTCTGATCATCATCAGACTATGAGCCTATATTCAAAAATAGTTAATTATTCCTAAATGTTATACACCAAAATTTTCCCTCTCACTTATCAAGATTTTTGCTCACAAGATCTCCTTTGACTCAAGACTACACTAGGGTTGATCAGCTCGAGACACCTCCTTAAGCATTGATGACCAAAATTAGGGTTTGAGATTGCACAAGGATATTTGAAATTCCAGTGCCCCATATGGTTTTCATGGATCATTATGGACCCCCAAGATTACTCATGTCAAGTTTCAAGCCTTGGATCACATTTTTGATCAGTCAATTGAGCAGTTGACCTAAAAATCAGTTGTATTGGGGAAAAAGTCAACTAAGGCCAATTTAAAGTCAAACTTCATAATTTTTTATCCATATCAACATTTTAAACTCATATGTATCATTTGATCAACTTTGGATCACAACTCCTCAAGAAATTTGATCAAGTCTCCAAAAGGGCAAAATGGTCAAAATTAGGGTTTTGAATGGGAAAGGGCAATTTCTGATTTTTGACCTAGCAAATGATCAATTGGTTTAAGGAATGATCTCAAGAGTCCAATTGCATCATTTTTACTTAATGGCATGGTTCAAAACATTGCAAGTCCACTAGATTGATAGATGAATTTTGCAATCAACTGATCAAAAGTCAATTGTATACTGAAAAGTCAAACTTTGACTTTTTAGTTAAATTCAAATGCCAAAGATCAAAATTCATCAAAACATGTCAAAATATGAAACTTATTAATCAAGAAATCAAAAATTCAAGATTTCATTTTGAAAAGTTAAAATTTCTAAACTTAGAAATTTTTCTAAGTGTTGAAAATTTCTTGTTTTTTCATAACTTTGAGCAAAATTTTCACCATGATGCAAGATGATTCAATAGAAACTTCCAACATGAAAGTTGTATATATCAATGAAATATACAACTTTTCTTCACACAACTTCTCCTAAAAGTGCTTGCATCTCAAGTTATAATTTTAAGAACATGTGGTCATGAAACAAAACACTTAGTGAAAATTTGCCCTAATTTGGTCAGGATTTTGACCCAACTTCATGGCCCTTTTTCATATAGTTCCAAGTGGGATATTAAAAGTAAATTCAAATATGTGTTGTAGAGCACATTGTAAACTTTCCAAAATTTCAAGGAACTCCTTGAGATCACTCTTGAGTAGGGATAATCGAAGAGATGAAGTTAGGGTTTTGTCACTTTAATTACAAGTCATTTTTGTGATGAACCAAATTAAAAATTCAAACTATGTTGCATAAACACTACTTTTCAGGCCTCAAACTTGTTAAGAACTCCATAATTAATGGTTTACACAGCTCTTAGAGGCCTCACTTCAATCATTCAATGCATGGACATGCTTTATATCTATTTTTGGAAGAAAGGTTACATTGCCATTTTGATAAAGTGACTTTTTGTACAAAACTTATTATTGAGCCTTGAACTTGTTCTCTTCTGATCAAACAGGTCCTATAACTCATGAGAAATGTTTCAAACACTTACAATCACCCATCCCATGCTTGTACCTCTCCTTGAAACTCGTTTCCCTCTTTTCTTCAAAATCAAGTAACCTAGACAAAAGCTATAAACTTGTACTTCTGATTATCCAAAGCTCTCAAACACTTTTATTTATACATACACAAACCATTTGATACAAACACACGAATGCTTGACCACTGAAAAGAGCTAGAACTCAGAATCACACTTCACTCTTTCATCTTCACACAAACTGACCAAAAACTTGAAACTCATAACCTACTCGCGTGTTTCTTGGTCTTTTGGTTTCCAAAGCTTCTAAAAATCACATAGAGTTGATATCACACCCTGTTACAGAACTATAACACCATTAATACCATCCTCCATTTTCAAAAACAGAGCTCTGCACATTGACTTCTCCAGACCATTTCAGCCATCCATTCTCAAGTTGATCATTGCATTAGCTTCCTGGGACCTCAAGGAAGCTAACATGATCATCACCATCACTTGAAACAAGCTCAAACTCAAAACACGATTTCCAGTTTTAAGGTAAGTTTTCTTAAATTTGAACTCTTCATACAGGCATCATCAATGACTTATTTGTGAACAAAACATGTAGATATCATTGCCATGAATGACGCTATCTAAGTTGCCTTTCAAATGATCTTAGTCCCTAAAAAGAATGCTAAGATACCCTTCAACATTTCTAATCATGGTTATACCATGACCCACGCCCGTCCTGTTTACATCCAAAGATAGGGTTGCTTACCAAATCAATGGTAAAATAACAATGTCAAAGGAAAAGAAAATGAACAAGAAACACTTTTGAGTAGGTAGAATGCTCCTAATTACTTGCTCAATTTCAAACAAACATCCTTGATATTTTCCAAACAAACACCTACACTTTCAAAACATTTTACAAAAAAAAAAACTTGAAAACATTTTCAAAAGATCAACATCTTTGTATACATTCTTACGAACGAGAATCATTACAAAGATTTCCTAAACAATGGCCTCTTTACAAAATACTTTCGAAAACCACACAAAGCACAATTTCAAACAAAAGCAAGTGATCTAGAAAGTAACTAAGATCCCATGGAGAACCATGGATGAAAAGGGTGATAATACCTTCCCTTTTCATAATCTACCCCCCCCCCCCCCGAACTCAATAAATAATCTCAAAGGTCTTTCATGTGCTTTTTCACCTTTCCTTTTGGATAAAAGAAAAGTCGGTGGCGACTCTTGCTAACCGCAACATTTGCAATCAAACGTAAAACCTTCAAGTCAGTTCTCCCACCGTATCACACTAAACACATGTTTAGATAAAACATATTCTTTCTAGCGCTTGATTCTTAAATAATGGACATGATTCTTTGCCACAAAGATAATGACAACATTGAAATATTGCTTATCATATATCTGATATTCTTCAAATGGATATTAAAATATCAGGTTTAGAAACTGTCAAGCAAAAATAAGGAGATTCTCATACCTTTGCACAACTTTTAATAGGCTATTGAGTTGTTTTCTCTTTACTCAATTGAATTGATTCTAAAGACTCATTTTGTTCCAACAATATTCTTCTGATGAAGTTCTGGTACCAAATTTCACATAAAATTGAAGAATCACCATGAACTCCTTTTTCTAGATGATCTTCAGCGGTTGAATAACTTCTGAAGCATCTGTTTCTGGTCACCCAGCTCCAGTAGTACCAGTAACAGTCATCCATATTTTATGGTTTCTTCCAAATTCTATATTTCCTATCTCTTTCAGAGTTAGAATTTGGAACATATGCTTTTCTTCTATCATATGTTGTAAGCATCCACTAACCATGTATTCCGACTTCTATTTTGCTTCTTATATATGCTGCAAAAACAATTTTAGATTTGGGTACCCATAATTTGATGGGTCCTCCGGGGTTAGTTCTTAAAGGTATATTTTGACCTTGTACCTTAGCCTTCATGTAGTAAGACTTGGAATCATTCAAGACTTCTGATTTAAAAGTTTTATGTCTTGAATGACTTTTATCCTTTGGTTTTGAACCTTTGAGAACCTTAGACTCTAATCTCTTAGGTTATGGTCTTCTCGGAATTTTAGACTTTTGAATCATTGGCTATGGTTTCTTCATAACCTTAGACTTTTAGGTCTCTGGTTCTGATTTCTTCAGAACTTCTGATTTAATAACCTTTGGTTATGATTTATTCATATCCTTTACTTTGTCATCAATAGGTACAAAGTAAGAATGAAATACTTTTTAATCAGATCTTGGAGAAAAAGGTTCTATTGGCTTGCGCTAGGTTTTAAACCTAGGATCAAAAGATTTTCCAGAATAGTAAAGACCTTCTCCTCTGCTCCTACCAACTTTGTAAATCATAGAAGCTATTTTTGTCCTATTAAAGCAAGAAATGACAAATTCACGAAAAGCCATTTCATACTTATTAAGGTGTTTGTAAAACATGCCATTAATTAAAGTAGTATGATCTATTTCTAATTCAACAATTTTATTTTTATAAAAATATAATTCATCTTTCAAGAGATCATAACGTTTTTTCCTCATAATTTTCACATATATAGCTTTAACTTGATAATAACCCGTAAGATCTTTAACAAGAGTAATTAAATCTGAATGATATAAATTAGCAAATACCTCATCTTATTGTTCTTCTTATCCATATTTAGAACCATAATCTGATTTAGATTATGCATTAGAGGATGTATGACCCATCAAAGCTAGATCAATTTTTCCTTCATTTTTGTCATAATCTTATTCATTTCTAAGTTCATCCCATGTTGTCATGAGATTCTTCTTGTCCTTGTTTCCGAAGTTGTCCTTCTGATAACTTCCTTTCTTTGCTTTGTACTTTTATAATTATGGACAATCATCAATGAAGTGATCAGGCTTCTTGCAGTTGAAACACCCCTTATGATCATCCTTCTTATATTTAGAACTAGTTCCTATGAAGCCACTGCTTATGTCATAGAATATTTTGTCCTTCTTTGTCAAATACTAAAATATTTTGATAAGAAATTCCATCTCCTCATCATCTGTTTCATCTTCATAACCTGCTGCAGAAGCAA